AAAACACGATAATGATGGATTTTTTCTAATGATTGAAATGATACAATGATGAAATGTGAATGGTCTTGAATTTTTCTTGGTATTTTGTCTTCTTTTTAGGATTGATTATTACTTTGTTTGAATGAAATGATATATGTATATTTTGTTTTCTTGTTATATTATGAATTGTGTCAACTGTGAGAGAAGGGAACCAGAAAACAGAACACGAGCTCAAACTGCTCTTAAATCACAGGTATGAATATGATGAAGCACAAGATAAAACTTTGTGTGTGTTCAATGAATCTCGTACTGAGGTTCTAGAAGCAAATCCTCTTCCAGTTTACCAAATCAATAGAACTTTGAAAGATAACACCTCAATACACACTCATTTCCATGAGGTTTGAAACTTTTCCTGACGATGTATCAAGAAGCCAAAGGAATCATTTACTCTAGATTTTTAAGCACTGCTCACGAACTTGCTTCAATCATACTCTTTTCGTGCTCCTTCGGTGAGACTTGATGAATTTCTTTACAGTCCCGACTCCCAATATTTGTTTCTTAAGTCTTAAAGGTACAATTTAGTCAAATTTTAAGCAAACAGTTCAAATGGAAATTCACGCGACCAGGAGACTGAAAGAGGATGTAGCATAAATAACAACAAACACTGAAACAAACATAACTAAACAAAATCAAGCAAGAAAGAAAGAAAATGAACTATGAAGGGTACAACGAACAACATCAAATCAGATTAGAAGAAAATCCAAATCAAACAATCAACTTCAAGAACGATATCTTGATTAGAATCAAATTATTCCTAAGATCGATCAGAAGAACTCAAAAGAAATTTATAATTCTCAACTTATTATTATTTATCACTTCGATTAGTTTGATTAGTTTAATACTTTATTCAAAACAAACTAAAGATGAATTATTAAAGTTGACCAAAGTATCATTCTTATCAACCACAAGCACAAGCACTCAACCCGATGGTTTATTACCAATCACACGAGAAGTTTTAGAAAAACTTGATCAACTTCAAAATAGTTTTGATGAAGAAGATGGAGTTCGTCAAGATTCTCAAAGCACAATCGATCCATCCAATCAAAAGATGCCAATGGTCACTTCACTTCCAACTAAACCGTCTCCTGTAACACATTCATCAAATACTCATCATTCAAGTATTCCGGCAGAAGAATTGGATCAAACGATTTGTCCAAACCAAACTTCATTAGGATTGTCTTGTTCATTTCTCTTACCTGGTTTCATTGGAGAACAAGAAACAAAAGCTCAAGTTCATTTACATCAATTAGGTTTACTTGCCATCCAATTAAATCGAACGTTAGTCTTACCCAACGTTAGTAAGAGTAGAATGGGAACTTGTTTGAGTTATCCATTTGATCTTTATTATCAAACTGAAAGTTTAAATCGATTAGGTATTCATACGATTAGTTATCATGAATTTATTAATTGGACTTTCAATCGATTTCAATCCTTCGGCTCATTGGTTTCTATCTCAGATTCTAAAATCCATCATTCTGATCATACATTAGTGAAAATCGAATCGGATTCCATTGAGACTATCTTTCCAAGTAAACCTGATCGAAATGTTTGTTTGAATAAAGGGAAATCTGGATTGAATTTCACTTCAAACTTTCCAATTACGATTATCAGTCCAGAGAGATGGAATCGAGTCAGTGAATTTAGAGAAGAATTTGGTGATACGATTTTAAAAACACTTGATTTTAAAGATCCTTTGATCAATCCTAATGTCTTAGTTATGAATTATGATCTAAGACATCCGATTTATTCAATTCGTACTATCAATTCAAAGAGACCGAAAGAAAGTTTACTTGGGAATTTTCAACATTTTCAATATGCACGAATTTGGAGTGAGGTAGCCAGTTTGATGATTCAAAGATTACCTAGTTATATATCGATACATTGGAGACAAGAAACTTTATCGATTGAAAGATTAAAGAAATGTTCAAGCTCATTGATTCCAAGACTTTTGAAAATCCAAAAATCATTTCCAAGTTTAACTTCAATTTATCTTTCAACTGATTATCCCATAGAAGAAGTTTTAAATCCAAAACAAACTGTCATAGCTCATAGTAGTACATTTTCAAAATTGATTACTCAAGATCATCATGTGTTGATGAAAACCCTCTTTTCTGAAATCCATCAAATTCAATCCGATTTAAAGTTTTTTAGTTTTGATCAACTTATTAAACAAATCGATTTGAACGAAGAAATGATTAAGAAATTAATCAAATTACCAAACGTGATGGAATTAATCAAATTGAATAAACTAATCCCAAGCAACAAAGATTCAAAAGTGAATGAAAAAGATCTGGTCATTGAAGCTTTAAATCAATTGGATACAGGTTTGATTGGGATTATTGAAAAACTGATTGGAATTAAATCGAATTTCTTTTTAACCGGTTTACCAAACCAATGTTCTAAGAAAAGTAGTTTTACTAAACAAATCGTAGATAGTAGGTTAAAACTCATTGAAGAGATTAAAGATGGGATGATGGATATGGATTATAGTCGATGGGAAAAAGTGGGGTTGAACGAAATGAAATCTAAGGTTTTCAATGTGGTTGAGTTTTGGGATGCTAATTGAGGATTAGGTGTAGGATTTTAGGTGGTTGTCGGAAGGGTTCATGATGATTTGATTTGAAGGAAGGAGTTGAGATACT